CTGGATCCGCCACTGGAAATTACAACAAATATGAAATCATATTACAGTAGCTTGATGCCTATAAAATAACTTATAAAATTCACCAAACTTCGTAAAATATCCGTAGCTTCCAGGAGGCTTCGCCCTCTGGACCCCCACCGGGGGCCCTTGGTGGCCCCCTGGCCCCCAGCCTAGATGCTCACTTCGCTCGCATACTCGACCTTATTAAATGCCCCTCCCCCCACTTTCAAAAACGTTCCGCCGCTGTTGCATGAAGCCTCAATGTATATACAATATTTTGCACTTTAGCAGCTTGTGGAATCGACGCATTCGCTGTAACAATAAAGCGGCTTTATTAAAAACTGTTTTTTTTTAATTTCTAGACGGCTTCGCGGCCCTCCAAAAATGTTTCCGGGCCCACATTTGGGCCGCGGACCATAGTTTCCGGAACTTCGCGGAACTAAATGACTCTTCAAAGTGGCAATCTCATTACAAGACAACAGGAGATGTTTGAACCAGTACACCGGGGTATCCCCTACTCATCTCGAAAGATGTACTGGGTTTTCTAATGTGCACATGAGCCAATTGTGTACACTGGGCCTACGGTGTATAGTCCTTATCCGGGAAGACGTGTTCCACCTCCAGAACCATAGGTGAGCGTGCCAGAACAGCGCCGATATTAGGGTTGTAGGCCTAGGTTGCTGCGCCCCAGCATTAACCGCTCGGCCATTCGTCTCGCTGGTATGTACCACACAGTCACAATTAAAGCTAAAACAGTAAGTAGTCCGGCAGCTTAGCAGATGGATGTGGACGTTCCGGACAAAAGCACCAATTTTTTTTTACATGCTCCTTATGGTCATAGCATTCAATTTTTAGTAGGAACCACCTCATCCGAGGTCATTATGGCGGCCATCTTGGATTTCAAAATGGCCGCCTAATAAAACCTATGTTTATCTATATCCACTTTTAAACCACTTGGAATTATAATTCTAATGGTCGGAAACTATTTTTATATGGTCGAGGAATACAATCATACCATTTTTGACCTGGTCAGATTGCCACAAATAGGTAATTTAAGGTCATTTAATGTCATTCAAGGTCAAATATTGTATGGTATCTTAAAAATTACATAATTGTCATATTTTACATTAGAACCATACCCAGACTCTCAGAATTCAAAATCTTTGCAATGAACTACAATATTTCATTCGAGGTCATTCTGGCGGCCATCTTGAATTTCAAAATTGCTGCCACGCAAATCCTATATTTATCAATATATGGGTTTT